TAATTTAGCGAGAAGGGAAAGAAAAACATAAATTGTTGGCCTATTTTCGGAAGATAGACCAGTGGCTTATAATTTTAGAATTATTCTATTCGATACGTGAAACGCCATCGTTGGAGATAGAATCATCTTTTAAGGGATGAAAGGCCTGAGATATGTAAAATTTAATTGTTTTTTTTTTTTTTTTCTTTAAAGGTAATAACTATGTTTGTAAAATTTTTTAGAACAGAAAAAATACAGTGTAACATACACGATGGGTACTTACCCGAATCGACCATACTACACTTGACTATTATTTAAAAGCAACGATTTATCCATGGTAATATTTTATTTGTCGCAAAATTACAAAGTAGGTACTTTTGTGTAGCAGTCGTATCTAAAAGGAGTATTGTTAATAATTAGTTGTCATAATTTGAGTACATACTCAATCGAAAATTCACACTTAAAGTCAAAAGTTGAAATTATGAATAACGAACAATAGTAAGTGGAAGTTAATAGCCCATTGTTTGGCAGTGATGTTTCCAAGTGTGGAAAATTCGTGTAATTTTCATTTTCCATAAACAGAGGAATAAACGAGTGCAAAATCCGAAGAAACCTCAAGCATCTTCCTTCATTTCCGTGCCTCTGCAAAGTCCCTTCTACGCTCGCCCAACAGTACACCTAAAACGCCCAAACGAATCAACAACGGGCCACAGTACAAAAGCAGCAGAGACGCCGCGATATGTATCTCCATCACAGGCTCGCACTCACGAACGGGTGCAGGTATCTCAATGCGTATCGGGTGATTTATTCTTTTCCGAAATCAGCGGGAAACCCATCTCGGAGATTATATGCGCGCTGGGCTCTGTCTGTTTTTCCCTTTCGCGTGCACGGATCCCCCCTCCCCCCAGGGCAGCCTGCCTTTGATGTCTGACTTGGGTATCAAAGTTTTCGCGAAAATCACATACGGAAACACGAGAGGAGCCTCGCTCCCATCGTACGGAAAAAAAGAAACCAGCGAAAAGTATATATATACCAAAGGCTGCACGAAAACAAACGCATATCCGGAACCCCCCTGCAAAGAGATGCATCGGGGATGCATTTTTCATTGTTAAACCACGCCGAGGCTCCGCGAGCACGAAGGATCCCGGGAAAAAGGCTAAGTTATTACGCGGCTCATCCTTTTATGCGGCCCGCGGATGAGGAGCAAATCTTTAAAGCGACGAGCTTTGATTCACGCGCGTGGGCGGTCCGCCCCGTGTACAGGCACGAGGGAGAACGTGACCCGGCATTGAGTGTCCCTGTGCTTCCTCGCCGTGAAATATTGCGCTCGTGTAAATACCCTCGTAAAATTCGGAGCGCACCAGACTTTCCATTTAGGGAACGGTGGAAGGAACGGGGGTAAAAGAGAGCGCCGAGCTAAATCGTCCAAGTGGGCGCAAATTGAAATTCGATGCGCTGCAAAAAAAAAAGAAAGGAGGAGAAATCACCTGGATGGGAAGGAACGTGCCGCTACATGGATATTATTTTCCGTGCCACCCGGAGAGAGCGGAAGGATGATTCGTTTCATCTTTTCATTTTATTGTTTGCACGGGTGGGGGGGTTAACGCTATTTTGTGTACAGCGAGATTTTCGGGCTTAGGGATAAAAATGCACGCGTAACGACATTTATTGCCGGTGTTACGGATAAATCAAACGCCTGGTTGGGAGACTGGAAATATTTCGGAATCGCGTGGCGAAACAGTACAACGCGTATGTCTCGAGTTACGGGTGGGTTTTATCGGGGGAAAAAAAAGCTCGCTCCCTGCTTTGAATTTTAACGAGCAATGAGTCAAGCCTTCCAACGTAAGGGAATACAAATAGTCGAAAGAACGCGTGAGTCTTTCATCCCAGTGACAAAGGTACAATTAAAAACCATTCCGGGTGGAGGGGGGGGGGGCGTGCAACAATGACATTTGCCAGGGAGACAGCAACTCCGCGCTTTTATTACTCCTTTAGCGTTGGAAATAAAATTCCTTTCCTTAAAGAAGTGAATGCACCGCTAGCTGTGCGCGGGCGCTTGTTCTTTTTGACGTAAAAATAACACTTCCAGCTTGGGGGAGAGGGAAAATTCACCTCGCATTTTCTCAAAATAGGAGCAAAGCTCGACAATATGGAAGAACGAGACGAGTCAAAGGGTGAAAATTCGGTAGAAGCGGCAAAGCGTCAGCAACGCTTCCAGGAATATCTAATTTCATCGGGCCAATTACACGCCTATTCAGCCCCGAGTTATCTAAATTGATTGCGGTGGTAATTGCATTTTCCTTTCGGGAGGCGCGCTCTCTCTCTCTCTCTCTTCGACCCCCACCCCCCTTGTCCTAAATTTGTATATTGCGCATGCAAGCTCGCATAAGCGTGAACTTACGTGCACGTACATATATACATATACGCGCACAAACGTACCATTTATTCACTTGACCCCTTGTCTCGGCCTTTGACTCCACGGCTTAGCGCGATTACGGGGCAAACATCCGAGCGCGCCCCGGGACAAAGCGCCCGCGCGCAACGCTTCTATTCTCTCTCTCTCGCTTCTCTGCTAATTTCAATAATTCTCGTCGGCCCGGTCTCAAATTCCATCAGCGTGAGTATTGTTATTCGTTGTGGGGCCAAATTTCAACGCGACTCGCAAGTGGTGCATGTTTACAAGTGGAGGGGTGTTATTTATTCGTTTCGTTTATTACCCGGGGGGCAACAGCTTGGGAATAAATAATCATCAAGCCAAGTATGTTAAAAGTCAAATTGCAAACTGTTTTGTCGTGTTTAAAGCATGAAATGAACTAAAATTGTTTCGAAGCTCGTTAGCATCAATGTAGATGATGTTTTGTTAACCGTTTACTTTTAATCCCTTGGCTTCGTTTATCGTCGTTTTTTGCACACGTATCAAGCAAAGTTTTAAACGTACGAATTAACGCTCAACAATAAGACATTACACGCACGTGGCCCAACTCAGAAGGGCCAGAGACGGTTAATCGCGTTATTTTTGCAGTAAGTAATGATACATATTGCAATATGGTCCTTATTCATTTTGCGGTTAAAAGTTTCAAGGAAAATAAACTCTACCCCATTTTGGTAGAGGAAACTCATTGTAACGCTTGCTTAATTTCGGTAAACTCTTTATGCATTTGTTGTCTAAGCTGTATCAATAGATTTATCATTACGACTTTTGTCACGCTTAATAGATTTCGTAAAGGGTCTCAATACTATTGCGGAACGTTATAAATATTTATTTGTTCTAACTTGAAATCGCTTGAGGTTCAACAGTGCAGTAAACAAAATTAAAAATAAAATATTCTTTTGGGCTGTAGCAACGAAAGCCGAGAGGACAAAAAATAACGGAGGAAAGTGTAGGTAGTTTCGGATATATCGACAGGACAACTTTATAACGCTTTCACGCGAACGTCCTCCGTTCCATGCGAGGGAGATTGCATATAACAACTATACGCTAAAACAGCCGCTCGGTGTTTACGATCGCAATACCACGTCAACGATGTTTTAGCATTTCGCGTACAAGCGCCCGTTTCATTCGCTCGAAATCCTTTGGGTACTATTCCAATAAAAAAAAAAATCGAGTATTTCCCAGCCTACATTTGTACACGAGAGCACACGCATGTATATAGTTTTGACGGAAATAAAAAAAAAAAAAAAAAAAGTACGACGAGTATAATCTGCAGCAACAGTACACCTGCGCAGTGCCGAGTATCCTCTCGTGTTGTACATGTACCGCATAATTAACAATATAATCGACTAGTCAGTTTTTTTTCCAGCAATGAATATTTCGTTTTGCCAAAAAAGTGGGGTATAAGCGCAGCAAATGTTCCCAAGAATTTTTTTTATTCTTTGGGCTGCCAGTGTACGAATGGTGAAAATGATAATTTTAATAACGAGTGGTCAGAGAAAAACCCACGTAAAAGTAAACACGGGCGCACGAAAAAGGAAATTCAACACGTGTTTGCTCGCCTAGTGCGAAATCCATCTGCAAAATTAAAAACAGGCACTTTGAGCGTGAGCTGCCTTTGCGCTCGCAAAGCAACAAAAATAAAAGATTAAAAGTACTTATAGCGAATGCACGCAAAAAACGTCCTCAAATGTAAAACTGGACAAACATGGAGAAATGAGGAACTGGATAAAAACCAAGATTTTAGCTGGGAAAGCTGGGAAAAAAAATCATTGTAAACAATTCACATACTCGTATTGTTCAGGTGCTTATTTAATGAAAATAAATTAATGTATAGAAAGATTTTCAACTTACCTGTAAGCCTTACGCTGAGACTTCCCCTTTTTTTATGTTTAAAATTTGTAAAAGTGTTTTTTCATTCGGTAGTGCAAGTCCCATCGATACCTTGGATTTTTTTAACGACAAAAGTATTTTCATAGCAATCGTTTACATTAGGGATCGTCAGGAGTCAAATAAAAAAAGATAAATTACGCTAAACTTGGCAAATCTGTTTTTTTTTTTTTTTTTTTTTTTTTTTAATTTCTTAAAACACTTTTGAATTTTTTAAATATTTTCTACTAGTAATCTCTTGAAGCTTATAAATGTTAGTGTTAAACAAAATAATGAAATTTATACAAATTTTAAATGAACCTTGAAATTTTTACAAAATTCACGTGTAAATCTTTACAAAAAAAAAACGTCGGCGTCTCATAACTTCCAGAGATTACCTCACACAAACTTTATAATATTTATTTGTAATTTATCGTTCATTCGTCACATCAACGTATGAAAATCACAACACGTATTTAACAGATGTTTAAAATACGAGAGTATTTGATGAGTGAAAGGATCATTTACACACATGTTATAGCAACCATAAATCGGTACTAGCCAATCGGTTATTTAACATATGCTGTATTGATTCGAAAATCGCATATCATATCGGTGTATTTATAATTCCAAACAAAATTCTAACTTAATATTAAAAATAAAATTTAAAAAATGTAGACGAGGAAAAATTGTGTTGAAAAAGCATGGTAATTTGTTGCAGTGACGTGCCTGGAGCCGGACTTCCAGTACCCGATGGAGAACATAACGGTGCCGAAGGGCCGCGAGGCTACGTTCACCTGCGTGGTGAACAACCTCGGTGGATACCGGGTGAGTTCTTCCTCCTCCAAGGGCAGTGATCAAGGTGGTGCCAATCCTCGGGTAACTATCATCCACATGACAATATTTCGCCTATCTCTCTCTTCTATCTTCAAGTCTGACGGTGATGCCCGCCTGCTGTTTGATGGGAACATTAATACATATATATCACTCTCGCACCTCTGTATCTCTCTCTTTCTCTCTCTCTCTCTCTCTCTCTCTCTTCTGTCGGCACCAAAAATCCATCGACTCTCACTGCCGCACACCTATACTACTCTCTGTCTGTCTGTCTGTCTGTCTGTCTCTTTTACTGTTGTTTCTTACGTTACATTACGAGCATTATGCCACCACCGTACTATTGTGTAACCACTGCACTTTGTTAAAACTGGCGCACGCCAGAGCATCTCACGACTTGGTTTTGCTATCGTTTGTTGAATTGCCTGCACCACCACTTGTAAGCACCATAGGCATCATTACCACCCCAACCTCACCCCCAACCACTTTACTCGACCCTTTCGCAATTCTCGAGTATCAATGTAAAACAATTCTTCTCATTTTCCCTGTTACACGACTACGTGAATACATTCCGTTTATGTTGTATACGCTACCCTGTTGTTTATCTACCTGTGCTCTCTACAATATTTAGCTGCTCCCCCTTACAATTGCACTTGACGAACTGTGCGCTCCAGTACGAATTATTTCCAAAAGCCTCCTTGGTCTTTTGTTTTATTTTTCCGTCCCAACAACAAAACGTACCATCGCCAGCTTGAATGGATTTCCGAGGTAACTTCGAGGCCCTTAACTCGACGAGTTGCAACAATAAAGTTCCGTATAAGATCCCCTTTGAGTGCAATGTGCGCTCCGATCTCAATTTAACTGCTCGAATCGTGTGCATCGCTAGCGAAGGATTAAGCACTAAGCGTACAAAACCTCGTGCATTGATTTCTACGCGCTTACAAGCGTCTACGCTGTTTTGTACGAGATGTACGTTGGAGGGATTTAATTTAACGGGGAGGCTTTTTCTTGGGTTCGGCAGAACGCGTGGTCTCATTTAATTACGAAATTTCCCACGTCGACGCGTCATTCGTTTTCATTTTCCAGCCAGACCCCTCCTCTCGCGCCTCGTTTTCGCAACAGCACACAGTTAGCAAGAACTTTTGCATAGGGGGGGAAAAAAAGAAGAAACAGCGCGGGATCCCACCATTTGTCAAATTCAGGAAATTACGGAACAAAAGTTTGGCCCCGATTTTCATTTTAATAAACACCGCGTGGCGTACGAATGATTTCGCGCCCTAATTGTGATTACCGCTGATTCCAGTTTTTGCAACTCCACGCGGAGGTTCAACGGAGTGTACTAGAAACTTTTTACCGCGGAAAATAAAGGAAAATAAAAGCGATCTCACCGCTGAGAGCTAAACTTCCGAAAACGCCGGGATAAGCTTTGTTTTTTGTTTCGAAAATTTAGCGATAAACAATAAGCGCCCTTTTTCCCCCACGACGGGAAGTTGGGAATTAGGAAATGAGGGGGAAAATTAATTCACGAGTCGAGAGTTTCCCTACCGAGAGATATCCTCTCCAAAACACGATCAGACCCATGTAGTGAGAAATAGTCGCACCCCTTTCCTCTACGATCGCATCAGTTGGACCGATGCGCGAAACTATACTAAGCTGCACTGTTGAGTTGAATGAACAAAAAAAAAAAAGTTTGCACTGTAACCTGTTACGTACCAGTTGTAGCGTGACCTGATGAACATGTCTCGTGTTTTCTTTGCATGTTGGCACCTTACCTTTGTTTTAAGTTGAAAAAAAAAAAAAAAAAAAACGCAAGGCGATAGTCTTAGCTGAACTTTTGGCACTGGCCTGTTAACGTCGTTTACATGATAGGCCTGCTTTTTTAATACCACAAACGTTGTTTGGAAAAAAAAGAAAAAAAGATCTTCATCGGCCCGCTTGTGTTTGAAAAGGAGCATTGCGAAGCGCTTTGTTTTGGCATCTTGGTTCACCCGAAATGAAGTTCGTTCGTGCGCGCCTGTGATGATACACACCATACGTTCTTGTTACGCAATGATTTTTCAGTTGTTATTTTGCCACTTCTCTCTCTCTCTCTCTCTCTCTCTCTTTGTCTCTTTCTCTATCTCTCGCTGTCTCTGGCTGAGCATTTTGAAGGTATCTTGCAGCGTTGTGAGAGATAGATTGTATTGCGGGTCGCCTGTCTGCGCGGGTGACTCGAGTTTATGTGGATTACGAAACAATGGGTATGGCTACATTGAATTATGAATACGCAAAATATCCTTGTTTTTTTACCGAACAAATTTTTCCGTAGTTGTATACTTTTCTTTTGTTTTATTGTATTTTTATTTTTCAATTTTTTGTTTGTTTATTTCTTTTTTATTTATTTATCCTCTCCGTGGATCCTCGGCAGAGCAAACTTCAATTGAACCAGCTTCTTTTCGAATGATTATTAACAAGCATATACATCCATGTGTCCGTGAACGAATCATGACAATGTGAGCACTGCACTGAAGCACGTGTGCCTGTCGTTTTGCGAGAACTTTTGTTAAAAAAAAAAAAAAAAAAAAAAAAAAAAAATCGGCTTGATCGTGTTGCACCGCCTCTACGTACGGAGTATATTCTTATGATAAAAGAGATAATGCACTGCGCAAAAAAAACTTGTCGATGGTTGAAATGCTGTTATGAGGGACAACGAGATGTTATATACGACGCACCACGTTATACAAAGGCATGCCACGGTATTTTCGTGCATGAGGTTTGATCTCGACGAGAAAAAGTAAAAATTCCGGACTGCATGTGCATGATCCTCTTTTCACCAGTTGAGAAAGAAAAACAGAATACCAACAATGGTGATCATCCTCATATGCTTCGCGGTGAGAGAAACTACGCGGATTCAAGTTATACTGGTTTTTTATTTCGCTAATGTCCCACTTCACGTTAGAATCATAGAGCTACAGTTGATTTGGGAAAACACTTTCCGGGAAAGAAGTTACAAAGCTTTCCGAGGGATGATAATTTGTGCTCTTCGTGGAATATTTTCACTGTGGCGCTTTGAACTTTTATGCGAGAAGTGTGAGCTTTTTCTCATTATTTTAAGCGCCTCAAGTGCAAGCATTAATTTTTTTAATTCATGCTTGTAAATTTTTTTCATGTACTTTTTTTTACGCGAAACGTCATGCAGTCTTTTGATTTCAATTTCACTTTTTTACATAAAAAACTGCACGATTGATAAATGACCGAGGCTACAAGGGCCTATTTTTTTAAGATATATGCATACTGGAAAAAAATGTTTTGGAAAGTAAAAAATTGAAGAAATACTAAACATAGCTATAACATTAAAGGAGTTTGTTAGAAACACGAAAACTTTTTGATTGAACGCCCTCATTATTAAATAATTGTCTTTTTTTATTTTAATTCTTAAAACTTTTAATCGATAGCGTAATTTCAACTTTCCGTTCTTTGACTTGACTCGTTAAATTTTCTATCAAACCATGTCTCAAGAGAATACGAACCGAAACGGAATAATAGGGCGCTTTTTTCCCTAATGATGCCTCCTAAGAATTGTACTGTCTGTTGAATACTTTGGATATCTTAAATATTTTTAATTCGTTGTTAGTAGAAAAAGTCAACTTTATTCCAATGATTGCTTTTAGTTGAATCTTATGTTAAGCGACCAATGAATTATAATTTAAATACACTGAAATAATTTGTCACTATCTATTCTACTGAACTACAAAAACTACTTGACTTAGGAATGAGATCATCGTTATAAGCATGGAAACTAGGTGCCAGAACAAATAAAGAAATATATAAAATTAAAAATCGCAAAGAAATTTGCTTTCACGGAAACTTTTTGGAACAAGAAAAAAAACAAGAATAACTTAATGAATATACAGGATGAATTCCTGTGCAGTTAATTTTTTTAATGAATATTTATTTATTTTTTTGTTGTCAAAGGGAAACCTTTAATTGCCAGTAAATCAAAAATCCTTTAACTCTATAATTAATCATCTGGCAAGGGTTTTCAATTAAATTTTAATTAATTAAACCCACAAGCGTAAACATACAGCGCAAAGGTAATCAGTAAAAGAACATTATGATCCACTTCGTGAAAAGCCGAAAGCGAAAGGTTTGCATTCCGCGATGGAACAACTTTTCCCAATAAAGCCCCGTATCAAAGAACACCGACGTCCGGTTCAGACGGAATTTCGCGAGATTTTACTCGCTCGCGCCGAGGCAAACATCGCCGGCTTCATCTTTTTCCCGTCATCTGCGTTTCCAAAGTGCAAATCTGCATCAGCGAATCGCCGTCCAAGCGATCCACTTTGCAGCGAAAATAATCACGCGCACCCCCTAACCAACAGAGGGTGGCGAGAACAACCGGGCGCGTGTAATCCACGCAGTTTCTCTCAGCGCACGTGCCCGCACTTTTCCTGAAAAAAAAAAAAAAATCGCTCGGGAATCGTTAGACGCAGCAAAGATTATGTATTTAAAGGCAGCCATCGTTTGGTGCGTCAAAGCTTCTGCTCCTTGTTTTTTTTTTTTCATTAAAAAAAAAAAAAAAAATTTCTCTTTTATTCAGTTGCCGAAGCGACAAAAGCGATCGTTTTAATTACGAGAAAAGGACTCGTAAACTCCGTCGAAAATCCTCGATATTAAAAGCGGCCGCGGGTGGCTGGGGAAATATACACCCACCGGCCGTACACCAGCTAGGCGAAACTTTTAATTAGCGAGTTTATCCATTTATCCGTGGCGGCGAGCGGTGCCAGCAGGTCGCCTCGTTCATATTCCCCTTGTTGCTCTCTTTTCTTCGTGTATATGCGCGCGTGTGCTCTGGAAAACGAGGTGGAAAACAATAAGAACGAAAAAAAAAATAAAAACTCACGGAGTCGGGTGGGCGGAGCCGAAAGCGAGAGTGAGCAGGTGACGCTAGGCAAGGGTGGCTGTGGAGTGATCACATTATTCGTGAGCCTTTTTTCCTTTGAACGGAAGTACTGACGGGGAATCGGAAATCCTATTACGCAATCGTCTGCCATGTAGTGTTCCTAACAATGCACGATCTTTTTTTTCTTTTTTCTTTTTTTTTTTTTTTTTTCAAGCGAAAAAAGCACATTTTCGCGCTAGCCGGATCAAAATTATCCTTTGAAAGTAGCCAGAGCCTCGTTGAACTCTACGAGTGTTTTTTCCATCTCTTTGAGAGGAAAAAAAAAAAAAAAAAAAAAAAGAGAGAGAAAAATTCTCCCAGCACCGTAATATTTCATCTTGCCGCTCTCTTTGCGCGTTGGCATGAAAAAAAAATCTCGAAATCAATGGCCAAAATGATGGCCCGCTTACGCGTGAACTCACTCTCGCTCTCGTCGCTCATCACCACCATTATCCAGACGATAAAAAAAAAAAAGCCCCTTCTGACCCTTTTCTTCCCCCACTTATCCGATCATCTGCTTCCAGCCATCAGCTAATAAAGAACCTTCTATCTCCCTCGCATCGATGTACCGATGTACGGCACTGAATGGAAAAAAAAAGCCGGAGGGTGTCGGATTCGCTGTATCCAGGAGGGAGAGGGTGGCTGTTTTGAAAGTTCTCGACTCAGTGGTCGGGCTGTTGTGTGGTTGGAGCTTTTTACGCTCGAGTTGATGGAAGAGGCTCGGGTGCGCGATGCATTAGCCGGACTCGTTCTCCGCGCGTGTGGCTCGGGTAAGGGATATCTCTTTGGCACGGTGCGCCGGTTCTTTGGAAATTTCGAATGTCACGCAAACTTCCGCGGGATCGCAGCGATAATGTGCTCGGGGTCTCCATTCGTTTCGATGCAGTTTCGGTGGCCATTGAAACCAGCTTGAGTAATTGCGGCGCCTAGAGAAATATGAACGGATATGGTGAATAAAATACTGCAGCGTAAGGCGGAATCTTTGGCTCAACCGAGTCCATTAAACGTGAAATAACAAATTGTGAAAGAGATGACGGTGATGTCTAATGATTCATTTTTTTAGGAGAGTCAGCACCAGTACGCATTATCGATGTTATCCATAACTCTACTACTTTTTTCCCTCCAAAGCTAAATGCTTTTTTATATTTTTCGGATAATAGTTTTTTTACGTGTTGAAATCGTATTAGCAGTAAATGAAAAATTACGTCTTCTGGTTAACATTATAGATTTCTACTCTATAAATTTGAAATAGTGCAAATTTCACTAATTGTGTAAATGAACGTGATTTTCACTCGTAGAATGGTAAAAAATAAGGATTGTTTATTCGCACCCAGTCGATATAAATTTTAATTCTAAATGTTTATCTGTAATCCAACGAACGATCTTGATCCAAACGAAAATAATTGTACAACATACACACATTATTTCGAGTGGCATACCAACAATAAGTTTACCAACGAATTGAAATACTGAAACGTTAACTTATGAGAAATAGTTCATGTTTACTATTTCCCAGCATACAACTTTGAAATAGTGAAATCGCCCGCTTCACTGTTTAAATAACGTACATTCACTATTTTACGGTGTACATGCACTATTTTGAAAAATTTGTACACTTATGACTGTTTCAAATTTAGAGAGTACACCTTTTTTTGCGCAGACAACTTGGTTTTCGTGAAAACATTAATTTTCCCAAAAGAACCAGGATTTCGAAACTAATTCACGAAACAACGAGAGAACGAGTCCTCGCCTGGATGCTCCCGACTAATGAAAAATTCAAAACTCCCACCGAATCGTGAGCTGTAAAACCCAACCCAATCACCCGTCCCGATTAATGCACGGACCGCGAAAACAATTTCAACGCCCTTCACCGTTGCCGCGATAACGAATTCACGCACCATTTCGAATAACCAAGCATCCGCTCCGTTCTCCCGGCACGTCCCTCGAATTTCCCCCAAAAACCCCATTCAACCGCTCCGTCTCCCCGAGTCCTCGGCTCTTCGTACGTACACGCAGCAGCACCGAAGAAAAGGGAAAGACTGACGAATCGCGTTAGCGCGAAGCCGCTCTTTGGCACCGCGCTGTTTTTGCCGATCCGATTCGTTGGCGTGGCTTTTCCGAATTGCAAACGACGAGGCCGAGCTCGAGGGTGTTAAATGAACGCGGCGTACAGATAACGAAATTGATGTTGAATACCGTCGCGAGACGCGAGTTGGCTGCTCTTTTTTTTGGTTGGTTGGTTTGGGCTATATCTTTTTTTTTCGTAGTTGTGGAGCGGGTCGAGCTTTTATCTGGGCCTCGATAGCGTTGATTTGTACGCGCTCGGCGTATTTCACTTCCTGACCGACGATTCGGGTGAATTGTAGGTTGTGGAATCGGTGCCGGTTTGGTCTCGCTCGTGGAGTTTTTTTTTTTTTTTTTTTTTCCTTTGTTTCACAATTTATTTTGTTCGATGATATCAAGCCAAGTATGGTTTTAACTTTGGTTACTTTTTGTTTTGTTTTTTTGTATACTTTAAAGCTACGTTCTTGGAGGAGATGAGTATACGTGACCCATGCAATTTTAAAACCACTCGATCATCGGTCTGTTTATCAAGAACACCGAATTATCCTCCATCAACGATGTGCATTTGTTCAATTTCATTTGGACAATAACGGATGGAATATTTTATACGATTGTCATTTGAAAGGACAAAGTTTTTTTTTTTTTTTTTTAACGCCCGGCACGGCAATCGCGCGGTCAAATACATCAATCAATGTTCGTTCCCTGTAACCCGAAATAATCGTAGTATTGTGTGTTGGGTTTCCTTGGGGTTGGTTTGGTGCGCTCTGCGACGACAACGGACACGTCACAGGTGGCCTGGATCAAGGCGGACACGAAGGCGATCCTGGCGATACACGAGCACGTCATCACGAACAACGCCCGGCTCAGTGTCACTCACAACGACGCGCACACGTGGACCCTCAACATCAAGGATACGAGGCCCGAGGATCGGGGAACCTACATGTGCCAGGTCAACACGCAGCCTATGAAGAGCCAGGTGAGCCCTTCCCTCTATTTTTATCTTTCTGCTTTTTTTTTTTTTGTTTTTTTTTTTTTTTTTTTTTTGGTCGTTTGTTACTGCGTCGTTGATTTTTACTACCAATCGGATACGTCTGCCAGTATACAGCGGTTTTTATTTCTTTCCAGGGGACGAGAGACTATTTTCACGCAAATTTACACCTTTATCTTCGGTTGTCGCTGTTTATTGAAGGCTCGATTACCATTGCTTATCAATGCTCATCATGAATTAATTACTTACTGTTGCTCGTTTTTTTACTGTAAGTTCGCTCGTCTTTATTTATTGCAATTTACTTTCACTTTTCATGGCTAATTATTGCCTTAAGGTCCATCTTTACTCATATCAACCATATTATATCTTGATCCACCTAAAGGTTTATCACTGCTTTTATTTCCCGTTATGACTTCAACGTCACTCGTGATTACTTATTATTGATTATCACTGCTTACCTATACACACATTTTTTTTTAACTTCATGTGTCACGGAATATGAAGTTTATTGTTGCCTATTGTCAATCATCACTGTTTTTCCTGGAATTCCTCTCATTTTTTAAAAAAATTCACAACACTATCAATTTGAATTCTTCTGACCTCTCAAAATTCAGAGTAAACAATTGACACTATAAGAGTATCTAAAAAAAATATACAAACAAACTCAGTCTTTGGTCATTTCAGATAAATCATCACAAGCTTGCAATGACATGTACAAATGTTGATAATGTTATGATATGTGTTGAAAAAAAACCGTACCTGTTAGTCCATGACAATAGTTTCGTAACAAATATAAACACCATCATCACGGAAAATATACCATACATACGGATTATTTCTTTATCTCTTGTATTTCCTATTTGCCATTTTAGAAACGTTTTACTTGACGCTTTTGCAGAAAAAACTTGCCTATCAAGCATTTATCATTGCTTATTACAAGCTTTGTATTGTTCATCATTAGTTGTCATACACTTATAAACGTGTACCTCGAGTTCACTATAATAACCAACGATTATTATTATTGCTCATCGATATCTATTAAAATTTGTAATTGGATTTTTGTACTAACGTGGTGACTGACCACCTTGTTTTCTAATTGGATACTTACAATGAGAAAAGGGTTTTGAGGATATAACGTTTATCTCTTTATGTATCATATTATTCTTGTTGTTTGCAGAGCGCATACCTGGAAGTCGTCATACCACCGGACATCATTTACGAGGAGACCTCGGGTGACATCATGGTACCTGAAGGAGGAGCCGCGAAGCTTACCTGTAAGGCGCGAGGTTATCCAAAACCGGATATTATTTGGAAGCGAGAAAACAGCCAGGACATTATCTTGAGGACGCTTAACGGTGGCAGGCATAAAGGTGAGACTTTTTCCTGCATTTTCTCCTTTTCGTCCTCCTGTTTATAAAGCAAGGTAATATTACCCTTAAATCAAATTCAATCTTGACTGTGCTTTGAATTTAAACGCTTCCCAGATGATCCAGACAAAAAAACCCATAATTTTTAACGATATATGGTTCTTTTTTTTTTTTTTTTTTTTTATCAAACAAGTATTAAAATAAATATTTTAAAAACAAAGCACATAGCATGGGAGCGAGTTTTTGTTTAAGTACAATTGTGTAAAAAGAATCGCTTCTAGCACTTTTTGTTCGTACGTTCTTAGTACTATTTTACAATACATGTAACGAGGTTTTCTTGTGATCACGCGTTGAAATATTGATGTTAAAAGGTAAACATCTCAAAGATACAAGTGTTTCGTTTACAACTACCAATGAATCAACACTCAAAGCTATTTACAATGAAATTTGTAATGTTTCATTTTGAAAAATGTTTAGTGTTCAATTATCCAGTGTTAAAACTTGTACACCAAAGTAATGTAGAACTAGTTGTATGTTGAAATTCACAATATTTATAGCGTTTTGATTTCTACTGACTTACGTTTGAAAAAAATTTACGCAACTTTTATAAATCCCGCAAGTGCACTTGGTAAACTGTTGTTTAAAAAACAAAAAAAGTTTCCTTTTACAAGCAACAATTGAATGACGTTAAAATGTTTCAAAAAATACAAACTGCAAATAACATGCATAGATAATAAAGCCTGTCAATGAACGACGCATATCTTGTTACTCTCGCTCTATTTCACAATTTCGCAAACTTGTTTGACAAGCCAGTCGTTGTTTTTTTACGCAAACGCGGCTGTTTCGCATGTACCAACGGATGTAAATTTGCATACTGCCCTCATCCATACTCTTTTTCTACCCATAATTCTTGCCCCTTTACGAGCGTGTCTTTTCATCGTTTCCAGCTATTCATTTTCGTCGAATAAGCCTGTTTGAGATTTAACCCTTTTGAAAATTTTCAAGGAACGTACTAATACGGATAGGAGTCAATTAGATATAATGTAGACAATGAATGTTCTACTAAAGAAAGCTTACAAATTTTATTAAAGTTGCATTTTAATCTTTCACAAAATTCGCCCATCTTTAATATTTTCCATCTTACCAGATAATGAAGGCCAACGAATGGGTCATTATATATTTATGGCCTGTCTTTTCCATATCTTTACCATTACATTTATTTTGTAGAGTAAAATTAACATTCAGTCAGAGTAAAATGTGATGTTTTGAGTGATACACGAGGAATTGCGGAAGATTCGGTCTGTTTGAATACAAGAACTAGGTCACAATCACATAGCACTATTTACATGTAAAATAGTTTAAAAAATTTTTAATTAATTCAAATTGAGATGTGAAGCTTAAATGGATTCTTTATTTTAAAATGTTGTGTTGTATATTTTGTACTCCACATCTCATAATGTAAAACTGATCGTTAATTACAAAGTTTTATTACTAAATTGACGATTTCATTAGCATCTGAGACAAATAAATGGATAAATGTTCCACAGTACTTGCACAATTTTCACAATGAAAAGTTTATCGGAAGTACACTATCCGAAATATTTTAACCAATGAAGATCTCGAAAAATAAGAACAAAAATAAAAAGTACTGAATAGCGATAGTCACCAACTATTTATTCAAAATTACTAAANTTATAACTATTATCATCATTATTATTAAAATCATTATTATCACCATTATCCTTACACGGAGAGGGAATTCACACGTTGAACGCATGGAGGTTAGCTGGCTTTCAGCGCATGCGGATTTTCTTGCGTTCAAACGCAACAGATTCCGAGCGTCAAACCCATCATGCCTATTGCGTTTACAACTCAGGTATACTCCAGGGTTTCCGTGCTACAACTTCAAGCTTTCAACGCAAGGGAAGCTGCATGCGCTGAAAGCCAGCTAACCTCCATGCGTTCAACGTATGAATTTCCTCTTCGTGTATCATTAATTCAGTTTGTCATTTTTATTATCATTATCATTATTATAACTATTATTGTGATCATTAACATTATAATCGCTATTAACATTATTGTTATTATAAGCATTATTATAATCGGTAGCATTTTTATCATCATTATCATTATCGCTATCATCATTCACATATCTATTGTTGTCAACATTTTGATTATTATTATTATCCTTATTATCGTCAAAATTATGATAATCATGATCATTTTTATGGTTCGCATCATTATTATCACTTTTATCATTATTATTATGATTATTATTCTCACAATCATCATTATTATCATCATCATCATTATCGTCAGCAATATCATTTACATTGTTTTTTACATAATGAACATCATGATGAATTTCACCATCATTATTATTATCATAATTATCGTTAACATTTTATTCATCATTATTATTATTCTCATTATAATTATCATAATTATTCTCATTGTTATTATTATTTTCACTATCGTCATAATTTTGATCATCATCATCATTATCATTATCATCATAAACATTAATATCATCGTTATAATTATCATAAATATTACTATAATTCTATTTTATATTATTATAATCATCATTATCATAAACATTACTTTAACTTTTATCATTATTATAATTAACAGTATTTTTATTATTATCATCACTATCACTATCGGCAGTATTGTTATTATTGTTATAATTATTATTA